CGAGGCTACCAACGGACATCTGATTTGTATGTCCTTGATTAGACCGTCTCACTCACTGCATTGTATTGCTCACGCAATAAAGAATTGTAGCCTCCATAGCCATCGAGTTCGTGATCGTCCTAAATTGAAAGTACGACCGAATAACTTCGGTGTTGAACAGAGAAAAAATCTAGAGAAGTCCTAGCCAAAGTCTCGAGATTCCTCTCCACCATCGCTCTCTTTATTGAGGGATGTTTTCCTTTTCTTTTCCCTTTTCAAGTTCTTCGCTGCTATGAAGCCTTTTGGACCAGCAGATCTGAGACCACTGTGTATGCTCCGACCATTGCGGAAATCGTACAATTGGGCTCTGACTGTTTCTTAAAAACTTCCTAGGTTGCGTCAGTATCTTGTACACAGACGATTTCGGCAAAAGTCCCAGATACCAGCAAATCTTAACTTTCACTTTGCTCATTTCCATTAATAGTAATTTGTAGATGTGGTATCTCTGCACCTACAGAGAAAGAATTCCAGATGATCGAGGGTCTCACGCGCCTCGAACTAAGAGAGAATGCCGAGGAGATCGACGTGGTGCCAGTGATTAAAACCAGACAGGCGGTTCGAATGATGGGTTACCAAATAGAAAATATATTGGATGTTTTAAAGATGTAAGGCCTCAGCTACGCAGTTGATTTCAACTTCTGTCCGCCCATTGAGGGCTTGAAAATCCTGATACAGATCAAACTTCATAGTTGACTGAACTTCACCGCTAATCGAAAGTGTGCGCTGACGAACTTGGACGCACACTTTCGATTAGCGGTGAAGTTCAGTCAACTATTTAGGTGACCTGGGTCTGCAACCTCCGAGCATGTGCTTTTTTGCAGCTGTATAAGAGCAGGGCTGTAACCCTTTCATTCAGGATCATGAACCACATACTGACGTGCCGCTCATTTCATACATATCTCGTCAATCTGTGTGCTTTTCCCTCCTCTGTCGCCGTTTTGAACTCACACTGGCCTGATTATGCTTATGGGATGCCTTTGGTAGTCTTAGTTAGGGCGTCTTCTTGTTTATTTCCCCTTAAGCTCGCAATTTGTAAACACGAAGGCCACCGAATAGAAGAGCGCTATATCGCAAACATAACCTGAGCTGAAATCTCCAATAACAGCTGGTTTTTCATCTCCATGGGATCCGCCATTTGGCGTTACTCCTCTGGGAGAGTTGAGGACTGATTTGTGGATCGCATTTCCCGCAACTTAACGTACTATAGCCAAACACACCTCATTACGTCTGCGGTGCGAAATAAACAGCCAGCGTGGCGCAGTCTGACAGGAATTTAATCCATGTCTATCTTGTAGAATTGGGGAATCCGAGTCCACACATTTTTGAGTGACCAGGCAAACTTATTTCAATTTTCAATGTGTACACTTGTCTGAAGCAATGTTGTTCTGAGGGAAGCCACTTTAAAAGATGCAATCGTGGGACGATTGCTGGATAGGCTTGCGCCCAGGTCAGATTGTCCTAGTTCTCTGCTGACCGGTACCGGACTTCTTCGGAGCCACAAACACGTTTTTCAAATCGCTTGTCCCCGCGAGTCATTGTGTAGACTGAATCGCATTGTGGTGCCGTTACAATTCTGACTAGAACTTGGAAAGAGTGGGGACAAAAGAGGGATGCTTGGGAGCTTTATCTCTTTTGCTTACCCACAGAGATCTCTCGCTGACATACCTGACTCTGTGCTTATGCGATTCGGCTGGTTCTTATTAACGTTGAGCAATCATTAGCTTAGCCAAAGTCAGATAACGACTCGGTAACCGTTGGAACGCTTCTCTCTTATGGGTTTCTTGTGAGAGAAATCAGGCTTCAGATATGTCAAAAGTCACGGTACATTTCGGATAGCGCAACCTTTTAAAATTTTTCTGGCGTGGAGAAGATTCGTCAAAACCGATAGAGTCGTTAGCACAAGTTAGTTGGGGTGCGTAAGCGAGGCGCAAGTTCAGCGCATCCGTTTCCCACCGATCGTTGCGGCCTTGCTCATTCAGTTACTTCAAAATCCGTGTCATGCTGCCGCGCCTCGGCTGACTTTAGTGAAACATTCAACATAGGAACTGCCGTTTATGCACATGTAATTACAGAGAAGGCTTCATGCCGCACGATTCAAAAGAGAAGTGGGAAGAGGTTGTGGCGGAGCTACGTGACGGCGCCGATGATATTTTGTGGGTACCGCAGCTATCGTGCGAGTAAGTGAACGCTTTTCTCATCCACTGTGGTCTGTTACCGTAACCTGGTTGCTTTCTTCTCATTTAACATTTCATTTAACATTATCTGAATAACTTCCAGAGATTTGCTAGAAAGTATTTGGTGGATTCGCCCGTTACGTGAAAGCAGCCGACAAGCGGTAATTCGGGTGTTGAATAAAGCGCTCAGCACTGGCCAGGTATTGCACTTTCCTTCAAAAGGAGTTATGTTTTGGTAAAAGTATTCTCATCGACACAGCTTCCTCTTCTCCGCCTTCTCAGATACATGTGCTGTAACTGATAATAGGTTCCCTTCCTCGCGGAAGCTGTCTCTTTTCCGTATCTTGATGCTGGCAAGGACGCTAAAGCAATCGTTCGCTGTAGCAGGACTGTCCTCCAGTATTGGCTCTACCCTATTGCCTGCGGTTTTGCGGGTGTTTATTCTCTATCATTGCTTTGCTTCCGCTCCTTGTTTCTATTATTGGTATTTCCTGGTATCTAGTTATCATCCAGCGCGCAAAACTGACTGTAAAGCAAAGGGTTTGAGGCCCCTAAATTCTTTTGACAGGCTTTTCCTTTTCATTAATGATTCACTCTGTCACTTGGTTTTATTACCCACAACTTGCACTCGCGGAATGGGTCTTCAGAGCTGATGTTCTTCTAAAAGATGAAGAAAGTCAAGAATATCCTGTCCACTTCATCCAAAAGGAGCTCACACTGCTATTGCTGCTCACCAGCTTTACAAGTTCATGTAGGGCACGTCGAGTCTTCCAAGCCCGAATAGTTCTCCCGCTGCAACCAGATTACGAGTTATGTGCCTCAGAAGGTGCCACAGATCATAGTTAGCCTGGTGTGTAGTGTCACGGAGGCGTACGCGGCGCGCGAAACAGGGTGATGAGGGTGCCTAAAACGTCTTCCCTCTCATTGGTCCGGCCCACCCCATTGACGTCATCCACCGGTCTAACAGCCATTATAACAGAAGGTCCGCTAGAGAACGTAAGTAAGCTATTGGCAGTGAGAACTCAGCTGGGCTCAGTCACCGCAACCGCATCGTCCATAACACTACAGTCTTCCCAGCTGCAGATGATGGGGCTTATGGCTGGGTTTAGCGCGACGCCAGCCCGTTCTCCATCAGTTGTCGCTTGCCGGCTCCAACAACTGGTGGAATACGTATGATTCAAACTATACGACATAGCTCTGCCGATTGCAGATAGAAAAAAAAGTGGAGGGAACGTGCTGGCGCTGCGTCAAACCCATCTCCTTTGACAGGCTCCATCATCCGTCCGCAGCGAACAGACTGTATTCTCCGGCTTCAACACCCTATCTTCGCAGTCATCTCATATGGATTCGCTTCGAAGAAGATTCAATTCGATGCGTTTATCTACGTTCTCTCTCAACATAGAGTTCCTAAGAACTTGGAATCAGAGTTTTTGGGACCTCGGAATCCCTATTTCTGCCTATATCCTACTCACGATTTCTAGTCTCTGGTTCTGCATATCAACCGAGCTTGGTCATAGCAATTGCCAGACTGATCAATCATGTCTAGCGGCTACGCTGTCTGGTGTACCGTAGAAGATCACGATGAAGCAAAGTTTCAGACACGAAGGTTTACAAGTGGCACAAAAATCAAGACAGAAGGCAAGCGAATGTGGTTCCTTAAGAAGGGAATATGCAAGTGAGGATTTGGTTTATACGGGTGTAGGACGTTTGTGCAATGCACTTTTTTTCGCACCTCTTCTCTCATGGTGGCAGAGTGGCCTGCGGTGTGATCTCACTTAAAGGCACATTCCGCGATAAAATAAGGCTATGACCTCTCAAATGTGTCGGACGATCCGGAAGGCGATTTTTGAGGCTGCGCTACTTTCAAAATGTGAAAAACGGCAAGAACTCCGCTAGAAGCTGACTAATTAGGCCCATGGACACCCCTTAGGCCCATGCCGACCCTCACCGGCTGCTAGCTACTAGCTAGTAGCCACTATGTTATCTTTCTCTATAACATTTCGGACTGCTTTTTCTGCTGCTTTTCTCCGCTAATCAGATACTTAGCACTTTTTTGTGCCTATTTGAGTTCCGTTTCCCGCAATTTGCGGTCGCGAACTGTGCCTTTAATTGCTTGCTCGCTGCCTCCTGACCTCTCATCGATTACGCTGTTCACTCAGTTATAACATGTTATAACACAACTCGAATATGGATAGGGAAGTGTGAAGACTGAATATTGGGTTTCAAACCGATGAAACAAGAGTTAAAAAAACATATTGGAGACCTTTCCTCAACTTGGCTTTTACGTCAAGCAACCAAGTAACTTTATTGGTAAAATAGTAATTATTATACTTTCTTCAAATACAAATATGAGAAATATTAACAGCTTTCATTATAATACATGAGCAGAACTTAAATTGTTGTTTGGTTACAAATCTTGACATCTTCACACAATATTCTTCTATCTGACTTTCACTCACCCCGTTTCGGTAACATTGTTCGAACCTGGGAGCAGAAATGAAAATTCTTCTGTGCATCTCACATGTAATTAAAAAAGTATGTCCAATTATCCAATGTACCAATGTATGTCTCTGTCTCTTTTTGTTGTGATAGTGCAGGAGCCGCTGTCTGACATAAATCTGAAACGGTAGAATCACCAAGCAAGAGATCTGCTCAAGTGAGTGCATAAAGCAGTGGTGCTGGTTGTTGTCAAGTTTCGCCCTTAAATACTTCTTAACGATGACCTTTTTATCAGGTGTTAGGATAAGGAAGACATCTAGGATAATCAAAAGCTCTGACGGTCACATTCAACGAATTGACCCGCTTGAAGGCGGTAATCTCTTTATATATATCGTCTATAAACGCAAATAGCTTTCCATTCGAGTTGAAGAAAGGTCTCCACAATGTTTTTTCTATTTTAATCATCGGTTTGAAACTTAATACTCATTCAGTCTTCACACTTCCGTATTCATATTTTTTGAGTTGTGTTATAGCATGTTATAGGTGGTTGAACAGCGTAATCGATGAGAGGTCAGAAGGCAGCGAGCCAGCAATTAAGTGGGGTCACACCGCAGGCGACTCTGCCATTATGAGAGGAGAGGTGCGAAAAAAGTGCACTGCACAAACGTCACATACCCGGTTTATACGGCTCTCTCTCCCTATTTCTATCGAACGACTAACTCTTCACATTTCAAGGATCACCGAATTCCTGCCTACACAAGGTCGTCGTCATTATCACGACATACACGTTTCACAGGGTGCATTTGTTGGCGAACGGAATATCTTAAGGACCAAATGGGGTGGCCAATATTTGCCGTTGATGTGGCCTAAACGACGGTTAGTAAATCGATTTCCTACTAAGCAATGGCTAGCCTGCTTCAGCGATTGGTGGAGAGCGAGCTGGAGCCGCACCAAATTTAGCCCCGTTATCTAGCGTCTGCAGGGGAAACCATGTGTATATGGCATGCAACTCAAAAATGTCATAATACGCAGCCTCATTAGAATCTGCAGGGCATTGCACGATGTCCCGGCACATTCGTAGGAGTTTACATAATGCCCCTTAACGGTCGTACTTTAATTTTTCCTCTACCATCACGTTCAGTTATGAGACGACTACTTTCTGTGAGATGGTGGAGGTCAAAGAGGAAGCCATTCAACAAATTATCGCTGTGGAACCCTCAATTTACACCACTATCAGCAATGAAATACAAGCTCATCGGCTTATCACTGAACTTCGGCACAGCTACAAGAAGTGAGCTTACTCTTGTATCGTGACTGTTCTAAGCTGACTTCCTTTTCTTTTCTTATAACTGCTCGAGAAATAGAGTGTTCCTGCAAAGAAGTGAAAGGTACTTTCAAGAAGGCAATCTAGAACGTGTTTCGTAGGAGAACACACTAACCGGACGTAGTATGCGTTTACTGGCTAGCACAGAACCGGGATACCCGCTGTTTTGTCCTGCAATACGCCGATGTGGGCAGGCGATGTCAGTCGTTTATTATTACTTTATTTCATTTTTAACAACAGAACACAATACAGAGTAAGTATTAGACAAGGGTAGTAGCTGCGACCGGCAGAAGACAACCACAAACGTAATAGATATCGCACAACATCTGGAAAGCCTTGTTTAAACATCGACTTCTCAAAAGTATTGATTCAGAAGACATGACATGACTGTTGAGAATTTCTGGACAAGTTTCCAACGTTGTGGCAAGTCGTTCAAAAAAGAGGAACATTTGACGGTCCCCGAAGGTCGAATAGCAATTGTGGGGTAAGCTAATACACGCTTGTGAAAATGCGGACAATTTCCTTCG